GCTTTATTTTGTTTCTTTAAATACAATGAAGTCGCCCTGTTACAACTATTTATATGAAAGCTTAAATAAATAAAGAAATCTAAGTTTCTGAAAACTTAATTTTGTTGTGATGTTTATACATTTAATCTAATGTACAATTTGCATCAAATATGAATATMATATATTATTTATTTTCACTATTTCTGTAATACATGATTTAAAYACCATTTTTTAAAACACACACGTTTTGATGTGTAAAGTAAATGGTAACAAACATTTTATTTTACACAGGTACACACCTAAACACGTGAATATTTACAATATTAACCTTAAAGGAAGTTTTTGGTGGCACGTGAGCAGCAGATAAGAATCAAAATTTATTTCCTGAATATTGTTTTGTGAAAACTCAGTCCTGGTTTCCGAGGCTGGGAATGTTGCGATGCTGCATAGTTTTACCATAAGTACAGGTAGGTTGAAAAATAAAATTGAGGGTAGTCATCATTTCTTAGCTACTCTACGTTAGGTATTTAACCACCTTTTAAACTAACCAACTTTTTACGCGTGAAAAGAAATTATTTTTGTCTCCACCCTTGTGTTTTGTTGCTGTTTGAATAAATGCTAGACAGTGCGTCACTGGAAACAACAAAGTCGCATTTGCATCATTTTCATTTAAAAATAACTCAAGCCTAAGAGCATTTTCCATTTAGCAATTGGGATCAGCATTGYAACTGTCTTCACATGTGAAAGCCTCRCCTAGACCTGAGGAGAGGGGAGCAAAGTCCACGTCAATTCCCGACAGTTTTCGACAGTTTCCCATTCTGACAACAAATTCCTGCTAACAGCCCTAAATCTCAAGTTTCACGGCAATTTTCCATGCCAATAACTGCCGAAAATCCCACTTTTCATGCAGTGTTACATTTTAAAGACAAATCCTTTGGGCACACAGCCACCAAAATCAAAGGATGATTTTGAGAAAATCCCTATGTTCTAAGCTGCAGTCAACCTAAAATTTATAAAAACAACCAGTATTTTTAATACCTAACCATGTTAGAAATGCATGATTGAGAAAGTTGATAAATGATGATCCCTGTGGGGTGTGGGAGCTGGTGAATAACTCTGCCTTTCATGAGAACTGCATTCAAGTCCCAATGAGAAGGTACAGTAATAATAGCCCCTATTGCCTGTTTCTGTGTTTCTGACACCCCACCACCACCACCACCACCACCATCACCACCCCAATGACGTTGATCTTAATATTTTGCACAAGCACAAAAAAATGGCACCGGCAGTTTAACAAAGAGTACATCGTGTGTGCTCACGACGCATCAACAAACATTCATCATGGTRATGGCACCAGCTGAACAACAGCGGGTGTGACAAAAAAAAAAGCCTCAACCCAAATATTTGAGTGTTATTAACATTGTTCCAGTYCTTTGCAGTAGTAATTACACCTAAACAGAGACAGGCAGGAGACACTTCTACTCCATAAACCTACAATGGACTTACGTTCAGAAACAGGAAAGACGATGACATCCTCATTCCAGATTCAATGACTCAGCWGAATAGGTCAGACTAATTTGCATATAGTCATCATTTGCATATAACCACAGACTGTCACGATGGTATTAGTCATCATGAAAAATCAGTCTTTCTGTTTCAAGTCACCAATGGGAACTAAGTTTAAAAGAAGAGCCATAGATTACCACGAGTTGAAAACATAATGTGACAAAAAAAACAAAACAAGACTGTAATAAAGGGTTTAACAAATATTAAGCCTCATGCTCCTGCCGGTGGGGGCAGTATTGCACTTTTTTCATTAATCTAAGTTCTCTTAGTTAAATATAGACAGGCGTGGTATCTAAAGAAATGTCAGAATCTAGGCTAAAAATTAATTTTCATAAACAAGGCCTTCTAAGTTGTTCAAAATGCATGCTTGCATACACATTTTGCTTGTTATTTTTTGCCTGTTTTTTAATTAAACTAGAATAATTTGAATCTTTTTTCTGTTATAATTTGATTCACATGGGTTTGACTTAGATTGCTTATTAGATCATCCTGGTTTTAATTTTGTTTTGAATTGAGACTGAACATTTAATAATCAAAAAGAAAAAATTGTATAGGTCTTCTGGACGGGTTCTTCTCTAATGAAATGTTTCGTCTCTCCTCCAAGAGAC